CTCAGAAGTTTGCCTTAACATCAATCTAAGTCCACAAATGGGAAGTTTAGCTCGCGTAGTTCGCTTGAGCCCCAATCGCATCCTTGAGCCTGTCCAGGTCAGAATTGGCGTTTTCTAGGGCACGTACCATTCGCTAACACCCTTGGACAATGATGTTTCTTCTTTCAGCCTTTGAATCTCTTTTTTATTTGCTCCATACAGCTTCTTCAGCGTCTAACTTCATCCAATGGGGAGTTCAGGCTGCCAGAAACGTGCATCAATGAGGCCATTGTTGGGTCACGAGATGACACTCTCAGGAGCAAGATTTGCTAGCAAAGGCTCGTCCTCTCTTTGGGGCCGATTTAGCTCCTCCGTCTTCCCCTCTCCAGAAACTAGAAAGGGGACTTCAGTCATTGTTTGGTATCTAGCCACCTCATCATCGACCGTTCTTGAAGATCTGGCCTCCTCATCTCCTTGGCCATGGAGAACGACTTCAACAATTTGCATCGCTTAAAGCAAAGGCTCCTCGATACGTTTGCCCTTTTATTGTCATTGCTCTAATTGGATCTTTGTTACCTCATCTAACGATGACTCAATCAATATTGCTTCTAGAGTAGGAAACTGAATTTTCTCCATTACGGCTTCGGCATGTAATTTCTTTCGTGAAGCCATCTCAATGGGTGACATGATGGGTTCACTATCCTCTTTGACCTTTTTTTGTGTGAGTGTTGTCATAAGAACCCTCTCAAAATAAATTGTTGAACCTGAGAGAACTCTCCCTGCATTTCCAAAGACCAATATTCACCCAAAACTAGGGTATTCACACTTGGCGTTGCAGCGACCCTAAATTTTTTGCCCTCAACAGCCTTTCTCTTCAAACTAACTAGTTTTTCCAGTTGATGAAGAGCTCAAGAAGTTTTTCTACGATGAACAGACAATATACATTGGGAAAATAAGTATGCGGAGAAAAATAAAGGATCGATTGACAAGACCCGTAGATATGAAATATGACAAAGAAAATTTCACGTTCCTAATTTCTATACTTTTCTCATAAAAAAACACCTTATCGAGCAGGGCCTGCCCTGACCCAGGGCGACCTGGGCAACGGCCCAGGGTCCAGACCAGGACACAACTCAAAAGGGGCCTCCATTTTGTATGTATATTATTTAATTGTTGGGCCATTTCAGCCTAATTTTACATTTTTCTATATTAGTTGCAAAATTTATAAGGCAACTAAATCAATATATAGACTTTACTCTTTTCCACAAACATTAATTGTAAAAAAAATTAAATGCACAACAATTAAATTTCACATAACTTTTTCAAATTTTAAATGAAAGCCTACCATCTCCATCTTTATTTATATTCCTATTCAATTTTTCTTTTGGGTGTATCTTTAATTCTTTATAGTGTATGTATTGCAAATTATAATCGCTTTCTCCTAATCAATTTACAACTCATTGAATAAAATTCATTCAAATAAGTAATAAAGTGTAAAATAATGTGTTAATCAATAAAATAACATCAAAATAAAGGAGAGTTAATTATCCCCACAAAATTGTAAGATTTATATAAATGAAATATTCAACTTTCACATAATTATATAACTTTTTGTAAATAATGGTTTCATACTTATAATTAAGGCCCATTTTAATTTACTTATTACTTATATAATTAGCTTATTAACTTATATTGCATTGAAATAAACAAAAGTAGAGGCATTATTTTTTTATTAATTCATCCAAAGTTACTCAATGCATAACTTGATCTTCAATCTATTGATTGATTTTGCAACGAATAATGAAAGTAAATATTGAAACCACATAATTATCATCATATTGACCGAAAAAGGAGGGGCATCATTTTTGTTTGGCCCAGGGCCTAAGAAATGCCAGGACCGACTCTATTATCGAGGCACGCATTATAATCATTTATGCATGCTCCAATAAGACGTTTCAAAAAAGGGCGACGCTTAACACACCAACGGTCCAAAATCAGACGCGTGGTGAGCAAGCATTGGACAAACACACCTTTTGCGCAAAGTCTCTCTATCATGTCTGCATTTAATGGGTCGAAAAGATGCAATATTTATCTCTTTTAAGAAAAGGTTAAATTCTGCTAATTATGGGTTTACATGTCCATCTCCACTCTATTGGGCGGCTAGCATCGGCATCGACTTCACTGTCAATGCTCAACGCCAGATCGATAAGATAAATTCCAACAACTTTCTACAACTAACCGATGTGTCTCGCTTGATCCCAATTAGTCACATTTTAACGATATTAGATTTGGCACGTACTAGATATATGAAATGAAAAAAATAATATATAAAATAATATAATTTAATAAGAAGTATTTAAAACTTTTAAATAGAAATGCGTAATTTAATTTAATTATTATTGAATAAATATTTTAATTAATGCACGTGTAATAAGCTAGCGTTGTACTATTAAGTAGGGCTGACATTTTTTAATCGAAAACTGAAAACCGAACCGACGAGAAAATAAACTGAACTGTACCGTACCGCTTGTAACGGTAACCGACTATCAGTTACCGAATCACTATCGGTACGGTATCATTGAACCCATAAGAGTTCGGTAAAACCGATACCGAACCGATAAGGGTAAAAAAAATTAAAACATATATTTTTTTAAATATTAAAACAATGATTAGTTGTTTAGTGTTCAAAAATTGAAATAAGGGCTCAACCCTACCTAAACCTCAAAATGACTAGAAAAATACCACTAATCATCGCCTCATTCACCTTCTAATCGGAACATTGTTGGTTTACCAGTCTCACTCCTTCTAAAGAAGATGCTACCGTTATTGTGGTCTTTAAGTCGTATCACAAATTTTATTTTTTGCTTGTTAGCAATATATTGTTTTATTAGTTGCTTTTACCACAAACCATAATCTAATTATATTTAAAATTACTTCTATATATATTAAATTTAAACTTTTTAATTCTTCAATGGATTTGTGAGTATTTTGTGTGTATTTAATTGGTAAGAAGTGAAAAAAATTAAAAAAATGACGAGAAAAGTAAACACTAGCATTTTTTTTGTGCTCAAATTTGGTTCGGTCTTTTCGGTATAAAACCGAAACCGAACCGAGTTTTCGGTTACCGAATTTTTGGTAACCGACTTTAATCAGTTCGATATCGGTTTTGCATTCGAGGTTACCAACATTATCGGTACGGTATCGGTATACGCTTATCGGTTCAGTAACCGAACCGGTACCACCCTACTAATGACAATATACTAAACTATAGTGAATATAAAAAAAAAATGTTTTGAATTAAACATTTAATTAATAATTAAACATGACTAATGTATAAAAACGGTAATGACTTGTAAAAATCAACAATTCAACATTCCCCTCACAACAAAAAAAAAACAGATCTAAAATCAACCTCCCCCAAAATTCCCCCATTTATTTTATATAATTATTAATTAATAACCTCGACCATCGATTTATAGGGCTTTACAAAGAGGGCTAGGGTTTATCTCGTCTCCTCTGCACGGCATACTTCCAAACCAATCTCGTCCCTGCCAACAGCCTTTCTCTGCACTTTCCGGAGGCGGAACCACCAGTGTTGCACAAAGTACAAGTAAGGTCTACAGTAAGTAAGCTAAATAGGGGATTTACCTGCCGTTCTTTTATATCCATTTTTCTTTTTCTCGTATAATAGTCTGAGTCAATCTTTGTGTTGCTTCATTATTTGTCCGCTTGAGTTTTTACGGTGAATTTTAAGTGTTGTGTGGATCAAAATTTGGCAAGAATTAGTAAATCTGTAGCTCATATTTCTGGAATCTGGGCCATGCTTTCAGTGGGAGTGAATAAGAATACCGAGAGAGTTGTAAAGTGATCTTAGGTTGCGAGCTCTCTGTAGGGGTGAGCAAAACCGAGCCGAAATTGAAAAACCGAACCGATGCATTCGGTGCGGTTCGGTTCGGTTTTTCAAGAATTTGGTTTCGGTGCGGTTTGAGTTTTAAAAAACGGCAAAAGTTTCGGTGCGGTTCGGTTTTGTGTCCGAAGGATTCGGTTTTAACCGAACCGCACCGAAAATCATAGTCATTTTTTTTTACATACAGTGAACACGCTTTTCATTTATGTTTTTAAATTTCAATTAACAACATTTGAATATTACTTTAAATTAAAGATTTTCTATTAACTGATCTTAGATCTTTGAATTCTCATATTCTATATTCAATTTCATTCAACCCTCTCTGTACTCTCTCAAGTCTCACCCTTGCAAAGCCCGCAACCCTAGTTTTTTCACTCTCAAGTCTCAACCCGCAGCCGTCCAATTTCATTTCGATCTCGCGTGCTCAGCCCGTCAGCCGCTCGCTCTCACTCCAGCCGTCCGACGCTCGTTCATTCTCACCATCAAACGCTGAGCCCCCTGGCTGCTCACCGCCCGACGCTCGATCGACATTCCACCGGCTTCCTCTGTCATCTCTCACTCCCTCAGTCTTCTTTTTTTCTTTTTCTCATTTCGTCCTCTTTCTTCAATCTGGCCCCAACCCTAATTTTTCTGTTTCACTGGGCAATATTTTATTGCCGTATTATTATGTTAATGGATGTAATTGTTTTGAGTGGTTTGCTGATGGTTTTGAGGCTTTGAACTTAAGTTATGCTGCTGTTGGTTTTGACTAGTCTTGAACTCATGTTATGCTTCAATATTGAATATATGTTTAATGTGGATTGTGAACTGCTGTTTTGTTTTGTAATGGGATGTTTAAATCTAGTAGATTGGTTTAATTTGTATGGTTTGAGTTTTAGTTTGTATTTACTCTTTATTGCGGTTAACTGAAAAACCGCACCGAACCAAACCGAAAATTTCGGTTCGGTTTGGTTCGGTTTTTCCTTCTCATGCGGTGCGGTTCGGTTAAGAAATTCCAAAATTTCAGTTTTCGGTTTTTTGCGGTGCGGTTCGGTGTTTTTGTCCGAACCGCACCGATGCTCACCCGTGCAAAGATTTAATCTTTTTCATTTATGCGATTGTATTTTAGGCCAATATGATGAGAATAAAGACTCCCAAGCCGGGCAGAATCAGGCGAGAGCTCGACAAACGTGCTCCAAAACTTGTATGGATCGAGCTTTTCACGGAATTTTTAGTTCTTATGTGTGTATGTGTTTAATTTGTATGGCTTTTATTAATGAAAAGAATTATTGATCGTTTTAGGTGGAAACCGGGAAGAAGACACTGGTTCTTCATGGTACTAAAACAAGCAGTGTTTTGAATTCAGTGTTGACAGAGATCTATCACTTGAAGAAGGACAATGCTGTCAAATTTTCAAGGAAAAATGATAACATTAGACCTTTTGAGAGTGGTGGTGAAACATCTTTGGAGTTCTTTTCCCTTAAGACTGATTGCAGCCTATTTGTGGTATGTTCTGAACATGCTGCTTTGTGGGTTTTCTTATGATTCCCTGCGATTTTTATCTGTTAGTTATTTGAATGAGCCGCATAGTTTTATGAGAGTTATTGTCTCATAGTTTTTTAATTTCCCCTTTCCTGTCCCAAAGGGGAATTCGATTTATTGCATTCTACCAATGATTCGAGTTTCAACCTCTACCATGAAGAAAAATTGAGTGATGTCTGCTTTAGTGATACTGACTTTCTACTCATACGGCCTTACCAGAATAGATGTTTTCCTTACAACAATGTTGCATGTTTCTCCTATCTCAGTATGGTTCTCACTCGAAGAAACGTCCAAACAATCTCGTGCTCGGTCGAACCTATGATCACCACATTTATGACCTTGTCGAGCTCGGCATCGAAAATTTTAAGAGCATGGATTCATTCTCGTATGACAAGAAAATAGCTCCTCGGGTTGGGTCAAAACCCTTTTTTGCCTTCATTGGGGAAGCATTCGAGAGTTCGGACGAGTTGAAACATTTGAAGGAAGTTCTGCTGGATCTTTTCCGTGGCGAGGTATGCTTTCAACAATGTTTTTTGTGTCTCTCCCATGCATATCTTGCCTTTATTATTATGTTGTGTGATGAATGTGGAATCATTGACATAACTAGGTTGTGACAAACTTCAACCTTGCTGGTGTTGACCGAGTTTACATCTGCTTAGCTCTGTCTCCGAATAGAATTTTTTTCTCGCATTGCGCACTTTGTCTCAAGAAGTCAGGAACTTCGGTGCCAAGGATGGAGTTAGTCGAGGTTGGGCCATCCATGGACATGGTTGTGAGAAGGCATCGCAATCCTGATGACAGCCTGAGAAAAGAAGCAATGAAAACGGCGCCTCAACTGTCAAAGAAGAAGGTGCTACTGGCTTATCTTTCCCTCTGCAATGTGTAAGCTTATTATGTGCTGGTTCATTTTCTGATCCTCTTGGTTTTTGATGTTCAGGAGAAAAATGTTGTGAAGGATGCAATACAGGGCAAGATTGGGAAGGTTTATATCCCGGAGCAGAAGGTATGTTGAAAAAAATATAATTTTTGAAATGCTTTAGCCTTGCACAGTATGATTTCTTTAGCTATAACACCATATATGAAAGGTGATGACGATATATCATATATAGTACTTGAGTTCTTAGTAAAGTTCCGCACCTTAATGGTACAGAAAATCAAAGAATGACTGTTATATGTTATGTAGATATCAGTCTTTAGAAAATGGATAAGAAATCCGAGTGTTCTGTTCCTAACTTGGTAGTGCTAATATCTAATCTCCCAGGTTATATTCTACCCAAAAGTATCTCTAAGTAGCTCCAGAAGGTGTTGCTTGCTTGTAATTTTATTTGATTTACAGACCTAATGTGCTAGAGCTCATTAGCCGTGCACAGTGCTCTCTGTTTTCAGATGTACCAACATGTTCATTTATTTAAAGAGCTCCAAAATCTGGCTTTTTTTTTCCTTGAAAGATTGTCCATGTAAAAACTTCTCTGTATGCAGGTGGGGAGTGTGCCATTTGCTAACAAATCAAAGGGGGTGAAGAGGGAGCGGCGTGAAGCTAAGACGAGAGGTGAGGGTCACAATCCCTCACAAAAGAAGCAAAGGCAAGATTCATCTTGAGCATAGATAGATACACATTTTCGAGTCAAAACTGATGTATCCTTTTGATTGATGAGCACACCTATCGTTTCTTGGTAATTGAACATTTGTCTTTCCTCAGTGTCGGTTGTTAAGCCGCGTGGTTATCTTGAATTTTTGTGTTATCTGTGTTATTTCATTTTTTGGGATAATGCCGGGTGTAGCTGGCTTGCAGGATATATATGAGAGATCACAAAGCCCTTTGTTCCTAATTTTGTTCTTTGATCTAAATTGGTAGTCATCCTACCAATGGGATTTTAATGACAATACACACAAGTAATGATACTTCGAACGTTATTTTCGGTTCTGTTCTTTCATGACATGATCCTAGGTGATATTGGATGCATCTACACAAATGAATTACGCTGTGGAATCTAGATCAAGGGAAAATTCAAAGATGCCCCTAGGGGCCCTTGATTTCACACTCACCCACATAGGGGCCGACTGCATTGCCCCTATGGGTAGCACCGAATTAGCCCTAGATCAAGTGTTGAGAACATTAGGTTTTCCTCTTTTCATGTTTATTGGATGTGTACTGAAACTAAACTCGACGCATCAAAGTCGAACAATGCCGGATTTTCTGATGAAAGGAATCTCATGACTTTCACGATTTGTCTATGGTTTGCTTTTGACATTTTCAATCTTAATGAAGAAAATACAGAAATTGTTATCCATTATAGTTGAAGAATGTAAACTCAGTTATTAATAATAATAATTAGAACATAATATGCAATGTTGTCTCGTTTGAGTTGAAAATTATTATGATTGGGAAAAAAAAATATAACAGAAATGTGCAATAATAATTAATAAGTGATACGCATTGTAAAACTATTATGAATTGACAACAGTCTGGTGAAACAGGTCATTTTGAATAACACCTAGGTTAAAATAAACATGTATACAAACTTCGAAGTTCATATGACAAGGCCTAATTCACTTCCAACCTGCACCAGGCCACCCATGACCTCAGTCGCCTGGCACTCCGTCTTCTACAACCTTGTCAAATTTCAATGTGATTTTCATGCGATCCCTCCATGCTGGTTCAAACTCAACAACAACAAAACAAGAACAGTAAATAGCCACTTTCGAACTAATTCGCCTTTTGCAATGAATGGAAACTCACCCTCGACCGAGTCCTGGGCACTGTGGCCTCCAAAGCCATCAAGAGCTTCGTCAACATTGCCCATTTCATCTCGTTAAAGCAGACGAAAGAAAATAAAATCAAGAAAATAACCGAAAATTCGTCCAAGGAGCTCGAGAAGAAGAGTATCGAGAAGAAACACTATCATTCGTACTCTACGGTGCGGATTGAGAATAGAGATGAAGAAAGTGAACAAAAAGGTCGGTGAGGAAAAAAGAGAATCGAGAGAAGAAAGGAAAATCAATTTCAGTGATCAGTATATCCAATTAAATTACCTCGACTAATTTGATCACATTTTTTTAACAAAACAAGACTAGACTAGCAATTTATACTTATTTTCTACTGAAAGGGTTATTATGTTTACTGCTGGGTATAATTGCCTTTTAAAAATCAATTAGCAATTATAGGAATAGAATACTTAGCAAGGATGCATGGGGTAATTTTCAAACCTAACTTGTTATTTATTTTCATATATTGAATATCAATTATTTTGAAATCTAGTCCACATGAAAAATAATAATAATAATGTCTAATTTTGTAAATAAAAATTTAATTTATTTATCTCTTAATCTCAATTGAAAATTTGTAAACTATAGAATAAATTTATTTAAAAATAATAATAATTGCCCAACTCAACGTGTTATGCAACTAAAAAAAAAAAAAAATTATGAAAAGAAAAACCTATATACTGTCTAAAAAGTACTATTTTCATCTGGGATGGTTCAACCCAAACCCATTGTACCATGCTAGAGTCATGGCGGGTTTATACTTTATTCACGCATCCGCCTCGACCAACCTCCTTACCAACCCAAGATATGTTCTCTTATTACCTGTAAACATGACAATCTTCAAAACCATTTTTTTTTTTCCACATTTCGCAGCAGTAGCAAAGATGCATGCACAATTTCCTTTTTAGCATTAAAATTATTAAGTTAGTCGACAATTTTGAGGATAATTTTGAAAGAAAGAGTAAGGAATAGTAAAAATAAATCACCAAAAAAAAAAAACAAACAAACAAACAACAAACAACAATCTCATAATTTCCTTTAATGAATCTTGAATGAGCCAAAAAGGTGGTCACGCGAACTACTATGTACACCGGCACCTGAAAAGATAGGAGCAACGTAAGATTCAAAACCCGTGTTATATCTTCAAAAAACGTGATTAGGTAATATGAGACATCATTGTGTGTATACTGATATTAACTAATATGCAAGACAAGTACAAATCAAAAAGGCAAAGGGTAACAAGTCTGCCACATCTGTACCTTCAGTTGCATGTTCCTTGAAAATGGGCATTCCGTTTTCTATTTCCTTCCTCTAAAGTCTTATTATTGGTAATGCGCATCGAGTACGCAAATATCAACCAATAAGTACATTCTTACGTGTGTAAGTTTTCATATACCACTCATGCCTTGCTTTTGTGGTTTTCTATGAACAATTGCGTCTAAAAAAAATAAAAAAATAAAAAAATAAAGTAAATGCATCAAATTTCCAGGGCGATCAGGATAAGAAAATTGATATTTTCATCTAGGATAACGACACTCAAATGCTAATAAGAAATTACTTAAACGGTCATAGTTTATTGAAGTCAAAATGAAAGGTCTCAGATAGACCAACCTCAACATATCCGTCTTTGTCTGTGTGGAGGAGAGAGTCAAATATTTAAATACAAGCTTCCTGCTGCCATAGTTTTACGCGAGCGACGGAGGTTTTGCATAACTCGGTTGGGCAGGTGTTAGGCTCTTAATCAATCGTCTCAAAGAGTCCATGATACTTGAAAAGGAGGGCCGTTTCCAAGGTTCCCTAGAGATGTAGAGACCAAAGTGAATAGAGAAAATATTATACGACTAGAGGATTGATACACGTGCAGAATTTTAGAAAAAATGGGTAAATCTTTGCAGTCCCAAATTACTTCAATCAAGTTATTTAAGACAGCCGAAGTTGAGGATGTGCACGTACGTAAAAAAGTAAACATACTAAAGCAAAGTGAACTACATGTCACGGGCAGTAACGAACTGACAAAAGGTCCGACCAGAATGCATTTGAAATATTCCCCGACCAAATTTAAGAGTGCCGAAATAAGTTCAGATTATGCAGAGAAAACTAAATATTTGTAGATATATAACTCATATGGTGTAACCCATTTAGACCAACTTTTTCCATTTCAACTAATAATCACTTACTTGGTCCAGCAGGCTTCAATAAGGGCTGCTAATTGGGGGTTTACTTCTCGAGGAATTTCAAGCCTTTTTCCTTTGAAGCCAACAGCGGCGACAACCTATGGTATTAAAAACAAAGAGAACTGTATTCAAAATTTCAAACTCAGCAAAAATGCCAAACATATGACGCGATAATTGCGTAAAACAGAATTAGAAAAATGTGGGCGAGACACTGACAAGGTAGGTACTGATATTTGAGACATTTTCAGGAAAAATGGATCACAAAAAGATTAATCTTCACAAATAATATAATAACAATAATATAATAATAATAATAATAATAATAATAATAATAATAATAATAACAATAACAATAATAATAATAATAATAATAATAATAATAATAATAATAATAATAATAATAATAATAATAATACAGAGAGATCTCAATGAAGAAAAATACTGTGCAGAATGGTGTGCATTTACATTAACTAGTACTTGCAGAGATTAAAAACACCAATGATTTGGAAACTAAAAGCCAAGTATAGGTTTATCAGATGTACCTAACAGAGTGAAATATATTACAAAATGAAATTAGCAGACACTATAACACATTATTTGCAGTCCGAGCAGTACATAAAGAAGATCAAAATTATTGAAGGGGCAACTGTAGGGTTCGGCTAAAATCTGTTTCTAGGAAAGAGAAGCTCAAGCAACAAGGCCACAAACACAATGCTCAAAATCTTTGACCGTCTTCCATTGCTCCTCTCTTTTAATTTACTAGGAAGGTGCACGTTCAACGCACGTAATTATTAATATTTTTTATGATTTAAAAGTTATATTTTTATTCAAGTTATGCTTAAGATTAAAAAATTTCCATAGTTTAATAAAAGGGGAAACACCTATATAATAAATTATAAAAATGTATGGGCACTGAAACATAATCTTTAATGGTATTAAAAACTATAGATAAATAAAAATAAATAAATTTGTGTTAGAAACCAAAATGAAATCATTATTTCATGTTGTCCTCATCATTGTTTGAAATCATGATCAACGTTATCGTTATTTTTATATCTTATTTTGTTGTCGGTTGTAGCGATTAGATTTATTTATTAATTTAATGTTAAACAATGTCGTTTAGACGTTTTCTCTTATTATTAAATTTGTGTAATTTAAGACAAAAATAATTATGCATTATACACAAATGTAAAATTTTATTCTAAATATATTTCCTCAAGTAAAAAATATATATTCTATTAATAAAAAAAAAAAGTTTTTTTTTTTTTTAACTCTTTAAGAAAAAAGATCCCGAATAATATATTTAAGTTCACCTTTAACAATACATATAATTGTATTTTTATGCTAATATATATAGAATGTATATAATTCAAAGTTTAACGTTGTTTGGATATTTCCTCTATATTTTTCGATTGCGTTGTTATAGTGCAAGAGTTTCTTTTTTTTTTTTCTTAATTTGGTTGATAACATATAAAACTTGTAGTTCGGTCAATAACATATAAAACTTGAAATCAGAGGTATGCTTGCAAACTCAATCTTAATACTTTTTTTTCTCATAGATGTAATGATATAAAATATAAAAATTTATTTGAAAAATATTAGTATAATAACATGATTGAAGATACTTAATTTTTATAACAAAATACAGACAACAAATGTGTTAATCGAACATTTTTACATATGCAATACTCTTTTTATATGGAAATTCAAGATTATCTTAAACAATAAAAACAAGTTCAATAAATTATAAATTAATGCTTCTTTTATGTAATACTTTTATCATTTTCATTTAGATGATTCTAATGATAACTATTTTGTAGCAATTGGATTTATAATATAAATTTATGATTCGTCACATATTTGTTATTTTATTTTATTCTTTCATAATTTTATTTTTTCTTCATACTAATATTAAAATAAATGAAACAACTCCAACACATATTACTATGGAAAAATATTTATACTATGGCGCATTATTGAAAGGTGAACTTAAATTATATTATTCAGACTCTTCTAAAATTTTAGTTATCATAAAAAAATATTAAAAGCAAAAGTAACCTTATTAACCACAACGAATAATGTTATTAATTTATTATTTAATTAACTTAACATTATGAGATAAATTAAATATATGATCGGCAATATTTTTTTATAATAATTTAAAATTATAAAAACTATTTCTATTATTGAATTATGTATACCAATTTTAAATGAAAGAAGTTATATTAGTTATATAGGAGGATTATACGTTGGCTTCTACAGTTTCAAAACATATAATACTCGATACTACTATTTTTTAATTTAATTTTATTGAGAAACAAAATTCAAAAATGAATGTTAATAATGGTAAATCCCTAACATTATTAACATTATTAGTGATAAAATTACATTGGTAACCTTAGAAATTAATTATAATGAAGGGCATTTTTTATAATCTAATTTTTTCAAGAAACAAACTCTCTTGAAAGAGAGTTATAGATTATAGATTATAGGTTATTAGATTTGTGCAGGAGTGTTATATGTGTTTCTTAATTTCTACATGGAAGTACAGCAGTTAACATACAAAGATGAACGAATGATAACATACAAAGATGAACGAATGACGTGCATCAACAAAAGCAAGGATAAACTGATTCTGCAGCTAATTTATTCAGACTAGAGAATCAATAACTTCACATTCGTGTTCAGATTACTCCACATTCCCAATGGAGTTTCTCACCAATGCTCTTAGAGAGATATACTACGAAGAAGGTGCAATACAGGCGTTTTAACTTTTTATCTATTCTATTAAACCTGAGTTCACCAACCTGTGCAGGATTTAAGTTGCCCCAGGGTTGCTGCAGAGTCGCCAACTCCCATAATATCACACCAAAACTGTACACATCTGACTTTTCATTTGAAGGTTCATCACGAAGCACTTCAGGTGCCATCCACTCAGGCTATAAAACAGTTCAGCCGGGAGACAAATTAACATATATTAGAGAAATAAAAATGTTTCTTATTATCCATTGGATAGCCTAGAAAAAGATTAAGACATCAGATCACTACATATAAAAAATGAAACTTACAGTTCCAGCAGCAGACTTGGACGAAAGAAAGGTGTTTGCTTTTAAACGGGAAAGACCAAAATCACAGACCTGACGAAGAAGTTAAAAGGTTAAGAATCTACAGAAAGAAGCAGGTTTCATAAAAAGAGGCATTTGATAGCATCTAAAATTAACAAGGTCACATACAATTAGATGTTCATACAAATCTGACTATAATCGGATATACATAAAACTATGATTTGCATGCTCAAAGCAATCGAAGGTAACAACAGAACCGGAGAACTGGGAATGGAAAATCAAATCCACAATTTTAATTAACACCATAAAAGGAATTCACAGCTTTTGTTATGAATGAGAAATTTCTGACACTGTATAACACCTAGATGATACGTGCACTACAATGCTTCAACCTATACTTCATTTGAGAAAAATATGTGTGTAGGCTAACTTTACTATGTGCTACATATACTTTTCCAAAGGAGAGCCAATCCAAAAATTAACAATCAGTATATTTTATATTTTAGCAAAAGAAGAGCTTTAGCAGATGAACATCTACCTCATCATCATCATGTCAACAAGGTGCAGATGCGTGCTAAAGATAATGTCTCTTACCTTCACAGTAAACTTCCTATCAACAAGAAGGTTAGGAGATTTCAAGTCTCGATGAACAATAGGAGGATTGCATTTATGAAGATAGTTCATTCCTTTTGCCTGAAGAAGAGTGAATCCAGAGTTTAGAATATAAGAGTTCAGAATGTGGATCTGCTTTCCAACAAGAGATCTGAAGACATACCACATCATAAGCCATGCTTAGTCGACGTCTTTCATCCAAAGCCTCTTTTGCACCAGGTTTATGCAGCAGTCTGTACAGACTACCTCTGAATAAAAAAACGTCAAAATACATTGTCAGAATAGAGCCATCCAAAGTAGAGTAACAGAGCAAATGGCATTCAGAGTAACAAAAGAATAATTAAATTTATACCTTGATAAATACTCTGTTACTATGGACAAGTTTGGCGGTTCTGTAACAGCACCCATAAAAAGCACAATATTCGGATGTCGCAGTCTTTTCATGATAGCCACCTGCCCAACAACAAAGCAACTAAAGCACAAACTGAAGTAGAAAAATCAAAGGTTGATTGAAAGGAAGTAGAATGTAGACCCTACCTCCCTTAAAAATTCCTTGAACTGCTCCGCATGGAAGTCTTGTTCCATGAGAATCTTCACAGCAACATCCTGAAATGTAATTCGCACTTGTTAAACCTATATGAAAACTCAGTTATTAAATATATATTTAAAATATTATTTTAATAACGTTCCAGCATTGACCAAAAAAAAC